GAATAATAGAAAACAAAAAAGGAAAATTGCAGTATTATGTTAATAATAAATGTAAATGGATTAAACATTTTAATCAAAATGCAGAGATTGTCAGACTGGGGGAGATCTAACTATAATGCCGTTTACAAAAGATACACTATAGAGTCAAAGATTCAAATAGATTAAAGGGAAAAAGGATTAAAAAGATAAACTATGGAAACATCACCCACAGGAAAGCTGAAGTGTTTATGCTAATATCAGACAAATGGATATTTTTAAATGCTGATAGAGATTTAAAAGAACACTTCATAATGATAAAAAAAAAAGAAGGCCAATCCATCATGAAGATATAACAATTATAAATATATACCATCATCCTTCATTATATTCAGGGAATTGGTTATTCAGGATACCTCACGGATTAAAAAAAAAACTTCAGATGTTCAAGTTTGTTATATTAAATGGAATAATATTTGCATATAACATATACATCCACCTGTGTACTTTGTCATCTCTAAATTACTTCTAATACTTAATACAATATAAATGCTATATAAATAGTTGTTAAACTTTTTTCTTTGCATTATTTTCATTTGTTGTATTGTTATTTTTCTGAATATTTTTGACTCATGGTTGGTTGAATCTGTGGATCCAGAAACCACAGAGACAGAAGTCCTAACAACATAGAGGCTAACATGGATGTACCTAGCAACACAGATCCAAAATATATAAAGCAAACACTGAAAGAAATGGAGGAAGAGATAGACAATTCAGCAATAATGCAAAAAGTTTCAGCAAAGAAATAGAAGACCTAAACAACACCTAGACATATAGACATGTATAGAACTCTAAATAGCAATAGCAGGGTACATATGCAGATGGAACGTTCTCTAGGGTAGATCATATGGCAGCCCATTTTTTAAAAAACTTAATAAATGTTTAAAAATTAAAATAATAAAAATTATGTTTTCTCTTCACAATGGAATGAGAAGAGAAATCAATAACAAAAAGAAATTTGGGATATTCACAACCATATGGAACAACATACTCCTAAGTATTCAATGTGTTAAAGACAAAATAAAAGCATCAAAACATACTTTGACAGTCTGGGCAACAAAGTGAGACCCCATCTCCACAAAAAAATAATTGTAGCCAGGCATGGTGGCACACACCTGTAATCCTAACAATTCAGGAAAATCTCTGAACTCAGAAGTTAGAAGCTTCAGTGAGCTGTGATCATACCACTGCACTGTGTGCAGCCTGGGTGTCTCCCAAGTGAGACGTGGTCTCGAGGTTTAAAAAAAAAATTTTTTTTGATAAGAGAAAATGAAGTACTACATGCTAAAACTTACAGAATGAAGCTAAAGCAGTGCTTGGTGGGAAGTTTATAGCTATAGGTGCTGAAATTAAAAAAGCAAGAAACATCTGAAATCAGTAGCCCAATCTTCCACCTTAAGACATGTTAAGCCGGGCGCGGTGGCTCAAGCCTGTAATCCCAGCGCTTTGGGAGGCTGAGGCGGGTGGATCACGAGGTCCAGAGATCGAGACCATCCTGGTCGTCATGGTGAAACCCCGTCTCTACTAAAAATACAAAAAATTAGCTGGGCATGGTGGCGCGTGCCTGTAATCCCAGCTACTCAGGAGGCTGAAGCAGAAGAACTGGCTGAACCCAGGAGGTGGAGGTTGCAGTGAGCCGAGATCGCACCATTGTACTCCAGCCTGGGTAACAAGAGCGAAACTTCGTCTCAAGACACGTTAAAAGAAGAGCAAACTAAACCCAAAGCAAGCAGAAAGGAGGGAAATAACAAAGATTAGAAATTAATCAAGTATGGAATATGAAAGCAAGAGAAAATCAATGAACCCAAAAGATTATTCTTTTGAGAAGATAAACAGATTGATAAACCTTGGATAGACTGACCAGGAAAAAAGAAGACTCAAATTGATAAAATCAAGAATGAAAGAAAGGACCTTACTACTGACCTTACAGAATTAGAAAGGATCTTTAGGGAATACCATGAACAACTGTATACCAACATACAGTTTTGTTGTTATTTATGTTAGTTTATGTTAGATAACATATGAAATAAAGACATTCCAAGAAAGACACAAACTACTAGAACTTACTCAAGAAATACAACTTCTGAATAGACAAGAAATTGAGCTACTACTGTTACCACCATGACCACCACCACTATTGCTACTATTTTTTTAAGTTTTTTGAGACTTGAACCTGTGCCTCCCAGGTTCAAGTGATTCTCCTGCCTCAGCCTTCTAAGTAGCTGGGACTACAGACATATGCCACCGTGCCCAGCTAATTTTTGTATTTTTAATAGAGACAATATTTGACCATGTTGGCCAGGGTGGTCTCGATCTCTACATCTCATGATCCACCTGCCTTGGCCTCCCAAGGTGCTGGGATTACAGGTATGAGCCACCGAGGCCGGTCCAGATCATTATCTCTTATGAATATAAATGCAAAATTCTCAACAACATTCTATCAAACCAAATCCCGCAACAAATAAAAATAATTATATGCCATGGCCAAATGGAATCTATCCCAGTAGTGCAAGATTGGTTTACCAACCAAAAGTCAATCAATTTAATGTACCATATCAGCAGAATAAATAACACAAAGCATATGATCCTCCCAATAGATGTAAAAAAACAGCATTTTCCAAAATCCAACTTCTTCATCATAATACTCAACAAAGTAGGAATGGATGTGAACTTCTTAACCTGATAAAGGCATCTATGGAAAAAACAAGAGCTAACATAATGCTTAATGGTTAAAGATGGAATGCTTTCCCCCTAAAATCAGGAACATGGACAAAATATCCACTTTCCCACTTTATTCAACATTGTAGGCAAGAAAAGGACACAAAATGCCTCAAATTGAAAAGGAAGAAGAATTCTCTCTAAAGATGACACGACCTTATAAATAGAAAGTCCTAAGAAATCTACTCAGAAACTGCTAGAACTAATACGTAAGTTCAGTAAAATTGCAGTTAAGATTAACATACAAAAATCAATTGTATTTCTATACATTTGGAATAAACAATCTGAAAATGAAGTTAAAACCATTTAGGATCAACAATATTGTCCCAAGTAACAATAATTTTTAAGTAGTTATTATTCCTGTTTCGTAGATAAAGAACTGAAGCCCTGAGACTTAGTTTGCTTAAGGAAGGACAGCTGTGGAGCCATTGTCTAGTTCAGATCATCAATTACAAAGCCCTGTTTCTTTTGACTATGCCGTGTTGCATTTGAAACAGTAGTACATTAGATTTTTTAAATAATAGACTGGCCTCTTAGGTTTCAGAGTGGTTTTGTTCAGAGACCCTGTTTATCATATATTCCAGTGTTAAGAATTTGTGTTCAATTGTTAATGCCATAAGCATTTATTTTGTGCTTACTGCATACAGGCACTATGATGAGTAAATAGTGATGAATATATTAATCCTTACTTTAGCAGAGAAAGTAAGTATGCAAATAAACAATTGCAGTATAGCAGGATACCTGCAGTGCTTAAAGTCTTAAATAAGTACAATGGTAACAGAAGAAAGTGATCATCTCTGCTGGAGTGGCCATAGAAGATGAGATGATTGAATTGGACATTCAAGGCTATGTAGGAGTTTGGCAGTTGGTATACCTGTGCCTCTTTCTGTGTCATGACTGACTGGAAACCATTCATGCATAAACATGAGTACTGGGTTTTTAAATAAATAATTACCTTAAGGTAGGAAAAAAAGTTCATTATTAGTTTGCAGGAATGCTGTGTTCCTTTACACCTCTTTAATAATTAGATTTACGTTCAGATATAATTAAAACTTCTTGGCAAAATACAGAAGTCTGAGAAGGGAAATGCTTTTTGCTGACATGTGATTTGTAAACTGCATTGCAAAACAACTACCTATTAGAGTTACTTAATTCTGTTGTATCTGCTTTTTGGAGTTTAAAGTTAAATGGACAAAGTAAAAGAAAAATTTGTGAGTTTATGAAGAATTTCATTTTTTAATCAAATTGTGGTAAACTCAACAATATACTTGGGAAATATGCTTTTCAAGGTTTTCAGGAGAAACACTTTAAATTGCATTTGTGACTTTTCTAGTTGTTAATGGTTTTTTTACACACAAATATTGTGTTAATGTGTCAGTGGTTTCTGATGAAACTATAAAGCTTTTTAGCAACATTTATTTGGCAAAAAGTTTTTTATCCTATAGGATTTTGAGCACTTTCTAATTTGTATAGTTGTTACCTAAAATAATGAATGATAAATAAGTTCTGAGTTTCTGAGTTTTGGAAAACATGTCTAATTAGAGCCATATATCAACATAACTATTTTTGTGTTTTTTTTTAAATTAACCACTCTCTTATTTATTTCTTAATGTAGCCTTTTGGTCACCTATTTCATGATCGCCCTTGGGATAAATAGGGAAAAATGAAAGGGAAATGGGAATCTTCTACTTTTAGAATCTTTGATTTGACCAAGTTGTAATACATTTTTGGGCTAAATAAAAGACTATCTACTACCTAATATAAATTTTTGGAAGTGCGTGTAGACAATTCTGGAAAATAGGGAATCTGTTTACAGGTGACTGGCAATTATTACAAATGAAAGGATGGGACTTTGTGTTTTGTTTTGGTTTTGGTTATTGCAGTGGCTGCTGTTTTGGTACTCCAGAATAGGTTAAGTATGCATTATATGGTGATGGCAGAGGTTTCTGATATGCTGTATTTGAGAAAATGTATTCAAATTTATACAGATTTTAGCTATGGTTTTAATGGCAATACTCTTTGCAAACTCATTTGATTATATTTAAGGTAAACATTCTTTGTGAAACTGTATTGCTATCTGAATCTAAAAGTCTATCTACATGAAACTATATGCTAAACTGTGTAAATCGCAATATATTAAATCAGTGCCTTATGGTGAATCCAAAGTGATTAAAAGGAAACACTGCTTTTCATTTACGAATACAAGTTAAATATAAGTAAATTAAATAAATATATTTCATTTTTAGATTATATAAATGGTGGAGAACTTTTTACTCATCTTTCTCAAAGAGAACGTTTCACAGAGCATGAGGTGCAGATTTATGTTGGAGAGATTGTGCTTGCCCTCGAACATCTCCACAAGGTAAGACACTTCATTTTTCAAGTTTCTTTTTTGAAATCTGTTAACTAAGGTAATAATGGAGCTAGAAGAGCTAATGTTTTTACATGTTATTGTCTTAGTGGAAATTATGAAAGCACACTTAGAGAAGAACATTACCAGTTTTCTCAGTTTCATAATTCTGTTTGAAAAAAAGTCTACTCTTCAGTTGTGCTTGCTGTGATGCAGATTAAAAAGAGAGAATCTAAGCAATTTTTGACTTCTTTTCAGGAAAAATCCTAATGCTTATTTGTTACAAAGTATCATTAAAATAAAGCCTTTTAATTATTAAAATAGCCAGTAAAATGAAACCATCAGTCTTAATACATATTTCCTTCATTGTAATTTACTGCATTGCAAACTCTGCCTGTACATCTTCAGGGTGTGTCCTGATGAGGTTGGAGTGTAAGAGTTATTTTCCACTCTCCCACTCTGGCTTTCTTTCCATTTGTTTTGTCCCTGACACCATCTCTTGCTCCCACCCGCTGTCTACTCCATTGTCCCCAGGTAGGATGAACTCTTACTAAAAAACTTTACATAAAATTCATGTCTGTGACCCTGTTTAAACTGTAACAATCAGTTTAAACTTTAAGAAATGTTATTGCAGGCTGGATGTGGTGGCTTATACCTGTAATCCCAGCACTTGCCAAGGCAGGCGGATCACCTGAGGTCAGGAGTTGAAGATCCACTTGGCCAACATGGAGAAACCCTGTCTCAACTAAAAATACAAAAAATTATCTGGGCGTGGTAGTGCACGCCTGTAATTGCAGCTACTTGGGAGGCTAAGGCAGGAGAATCGCTTGAACCTGGGAGGTAGAGGTTGCAGTGAGCCAAGATTGTGCCATTGCATTCCAGCCTGGGCAATAAGAGTGAAACTCCATCTAAAAAAAAAAAGAAATAAAGTTATTGCAGATACCATTAATCTTGAGCCAAGAAATTTTGACTCCATTTTTTGTTTGTTTTACTTAATGAGGAAATACTGTAGATGCAGTCTTTCTGTAGGCTGGGCTCGTGTTTTTCCTCAGAGACAGAAAGTACTCAAGTAATTTTTAAATTAGGACAATTCAGGTACATCATGAAGCCACCCTTCCTTGTCATGTTGTATTCAGGTCCTACACTAATTTAAAATAGAGATTCAAGTGCTGATTATGGAGCATAGAAAAGAAAGGAGAGAATTGGAGGGAAAAGGAAGGATGAAGGATGAAATTTCTAAAGGGGCAGGCAGCAAGGTGGAGGTAACAGATGGGTGAGGCTGTGAGAATAAATGATAAAATGTAAGAAAAAAAAGAGATCAAGAAAAGGGGAGATCCAGCCCAGAGCAGAAGCAAAACCTACCAGATGAAGGGAGATTGTTCAGAGTAGGAATCTTAAGGAGACTGAACGAAAAATGTATGAGAACAAGGAGAGAAAGAAACCTTTGGCAATAGTGGGTGGAGGACAGGGCTGCAGTGTAATGGAGAGGAGGGGGAAGGAGGTGCAGTGAAGTAGGCACTCAAACTGAGGTAGTGAAAACAGACACTTGGACTTCATTTGATAGAAGTCTTGATACAGTAAGAAGCTTTAAGATGATTTTTGTAGGATATAAGATAGTTAAGACATTTTCATATGAGAAACAATTGGACCCAGGAATACACTACAAAGAAGGATCTTTGGAATTTATGATTTAGGGGAATCAGCTTATGATATAAAAATGATGATAGAAATCATTATAAACACGAGTAAACAAAATTAATAGCTCCAGTGGGTAAGCTAGAAAGTCCAGTGTAGTGGTGCGATCTCGGCTCACTGCAGCCTCCATCTTCCCAGGCTCAGGTGATCCTCTCATGTCAACCTCCCGAGTAGCTGGGACCCAGGCACATGCCACCACAGCTTGCCATGTTTTGTAGTTTTTATAGAGATGGAAGGTTTTGCCATGTTGCCCAGGTTGGTGTTGAACTCCTAGACTCAAGCAATCTGCCCATCTCAGGCTCCCAGATTGTTGGGATTACAGGCGTGAGCCACTGTGCTTGTCCAAAAATCCAGTTTTTAATTTATGTGAAACTTGCCCATAGTCAAACACAGAAGTAAAGAAAACAACGAATATTGGATATAATTGTAACTGATACGGATTGGGAGTAATATAGCAAATGAGGTCTCAGATAACCTTCTCTTAACCTTACTAAAAAGATACAGATAATTATAATGCAAAGCCAGTAATGTTAATCTTGAAAAGCTACTAACATTGGGTTTCACAGGAAGAGGCAAAAATGGATGTTTACTTGCAAGTAATGAGGTGACACAGATAGCAAATCACTTGTTCCTAAAATGTTTTCCAAAAAAGTTTTTTTGTTTTGTTTTTTTAAGGAAAAAGCATCTCCTGGTTGTTAGATGCATGTAATGCTTAAAGTCAATGTCCCTTCAATATAAGCTCTAGATATTTTCCTTCCTCTATGTCTTGTAGAACACTGAGGCTCTTAGAGGAAAATTGCTTAGTGCTTTTGTGTTATGTTTTGTTTTGTTGATACCGGGTCTCAGTCCATTGCCTAGGCTGGAGTGCAGGGGCATGATCACAACTCCAAACCTACTGGGCTGAGGTGATCCTCCTACTTCAGCCTCCCAAGTAGCTGGGACAACAGGCATGCGCCACCATGCCTGGCTAATTTTTGTATTTTTTGTAGAGACGGAGTTTTGCCATGTTGCCCAGGCTAGTTTCGAACTCCTGAGCTCAAATGATCTTCCCACCTTGGCTTCCCAAAATGCTGGAATTACAGGTGTGGACCACCCGTGCCTGTACCCCTTTTTTAAATTCTGTTTTTAAAAAAATAGAGACAGGGTCTAGCTCTGTTGCCCAGGCTGGAATGCTATCATAGGTCACTGTGGCTTTGAACACCGTGGGCTCAAGTGATCCTCCTGCCTCAGCTTCCCAAGTAGCTCTAGGACTACATGTGTGCCACCACACCGAGCTAAGTTTTTACAATTTTTTGTAGAGATGGGTCTCATTGTGTTGCCCAGGCTGGTCTTGAGCTCCTGGATTCAAGTGACCCTCCTGCCTCAGCCTTCCAGAGTACTCAGATTACAGGCGTGAGACACTGTGCCTGGCCCCTAGTGTTTTTCTGTATGTATAATTTTGTTTTTCATTTTAAGAGATTATTAAGAACTTTCTCATATTCTTAGTGTTGAGGAAAACAATATTTCTAAGTTTAGAAACATTTAATTCAGGCCAATATAACTAAAAACATGAAAAATAGAATTCATACAGATCAAGCACCTCTGGTATGAGTTGGATAGATTTATTTGTTATATAGCTGAAGTGTTTTGCTATAGAACTTACAAAAAAGTAAGTTTTATAAATGCAAAGTAAAATAGAGTAAATGTTACTTAACTGATTGACTTTGCTTATTTAGAACTAAAGTTTGAGCCTAGTACAGTGGCTCACACCTGTAATCCCAGCTACTCTGGAGGCCGAGGCAGGAGGATAGCTTTAGCCCAGAAGTTTGAGGCTGCCGTGAGCTAGGATCATGCCACTGCATGCCCGCCTGAGTGACCAACTGAGACACTATCTCAAAACAGAAAAGGAAAAGAAAAAAAAAAAAAAAAACTAGACTAAAGTTAACCTCTGATCTTCAACCTTTATGTTTAAGAGCCTGTTAATCAACAATTCTTTATCAATTACCTATTTTATGCATGGTGTGCTGCACAAATACTGGATGTATACATAAAAAGTGAAAAACAGAGTTAGTATAGGTATATAAAGACAAATAGGAAACACCTAGAAAATATCAGTCATATATAGTAAGTATAATATAAACATAGATGTAGGGTGAAAAACAAAGAAATGAACAGGGTGGGATCTGGTTAGTCAGAAAAGCCTTCTGAAAACATTAGGAAGTGATGGACAAGAATTGGCTACGAAAGCATCTGAAGGTCATCTAGAGTGAGGGTGAAATAGGAAGAGTAGAGACATAAAGAAGCACTAGTTAAGAGGGAGGCCCTAAAGAAGCTGACCCAACGAGGTAGACCCTGAGCACGAGGAGAACAAAGACGTGGTTAGAGAGGTCCAGGGTACGCAGCAGATAAAAGAATTTACATTTGCCCTGACCAGTCACCAAGGGCCATCACAGGATCCTGAGGAGGGAAATGCCTTTAAAAAAAAAAAAAAGGTAGATAAGAAAGACTGTCCTAATTCATTTTTTTTTGTAAATTATTTTAAAATTCATACTTGTTTGTTTTTGCAGTTGGGGATTATATATCGTGACATTAAGCTTGAGAATATTCTACTTGATTCTAATGGCCATGTGGTGCTGACAGATTTTGGTCTGAGTAAGGAGTTTGTGGCTGATGAAGTGAGTATGATATTTTAATTTGAAGTTAATAATAACACAGTGTAAACAAGGATGACAACTTAGCTGCAGAATAAGCATTTAGCAGAAAACTGCCATATGAATTTGAACTTTTGTGCAGGGTTTGCCCATGGGAACATTTTGACATGAAAATGTAGAGATTTTTAGTTTAGAATTAATAGGGGACCATCCTGTTAAAATTGCTGTAAACCTTGATGGATATATCACAATTCCTATTTATTGAAAAAAAAAAAAAAAAAAGACACTATGCATTTAACTTTCCCCATGAAATATATAAAATGTAACTGAAAAATTAAATAACTCTTTTGGCCCTTGAGGAGAAGTATGGCTTTGATGGTGGCCAATAAAGAATCACAAAGCTGGCCAGGCACGGTGGCTCACGCCTGTAATCCCAGCACTTGGGAGGCCAAGGTGCATAGATCACCTGAGGCCGGGAGTTCAAGACCAGCCTTACCAACCTGGAGAAACCCCTTCTCTATTAAAAATACAAAATTAGCCAGACATGATGGCTCACGCCTGTAATCCCAGCACTTTGGGAGGCCAAGGTGGGTAGATCACCTGAGGCCGGGAGTTCAAAACCAGCCTGACCAACATGGAGAAACCCCATCTCTACTAAAAATACAAAATTAGCCAGGCATGGTGGTGCATGCCTGTAATCCCAGCTACTTGGGAGGCTGAGGCAGGAGAATCGCTTGAACCCAGGAAATGGAGGTTGCGGTGAGCCAAGATCGTGCCATTGCACTCTAGTCTGGGCAACAAGAGTGAAACTCCATCTCCAAAAAAAAAAACAAAACGATTCACAAAGCAAAGTACATACAGTTTACATTACGATAGCAAAGTAAGACATGTTATGAAGACCCTTTGAATTCTCTTGACAAGACAGAGATCTACCAGACCCAATTTTTAAATAATATTGCTGGGGTTTACTCAATATGAATTAAAATGTCATGGCTAATATGCAGATTTATATATGGAGGACTTTAATTTTCAGTATTAATTAGAATTTAATATTACAAAAGCATTTAATGACACTTAAAATTGTACATCTATAAGTTGTAATTAAATACTGTTAGTGGTTGTAATAGAAGTTACATTTATTTCTACACTACTAGCTACTCAAGATAACTAAGTAAATTTGAATATCAGTTTCATTTCTATCCAGGAAATTGTTGTTATAGAATATGGAATTGTAGTAATATTTTTGTAGTGAAGGACTTTGTTGTTATAAAATACATCATTCTTGGATCCCAAGTTAGGTATATCTATTTCTGATTGGTTTTTGGAGTATTGCTAAAACAGTCCTAGGTGAGTGAGATAAGCACTGAAATTATAAAAATTAAAGGTCTTAATTTTTTAATCACACATATATTCATTTATTTTACTTATACAATAAATATTTATTGATCACCTCTACTATGCTGGGTACTGGGCAATGCAATAATAAATGAAACGGAAATGATCTCTGCCTTCATGAAGCTGTAGTTATTGCAGTAAATTGATTATCTTTGATACAAATATCATAGTTATAAAATAGATTAGATGAATTTTGAGGAGTTTACTTCTAAATTTGATTCTTAAAACTTTTTGTGCCTTTGTAAACTTTTAGTGGCAACTTCAATAAATTGTAGCAGATTAAATCTGTTTACTGTTGCCTTCTTAATAAATCCCACAAGAATAAAAGGAAAGGGATAAAATAAACATGAACTCAAAAGGGAAAAGAGAAAATAGCAACCACATTTTAGAAGATGGACAACAGTAACATGCACGTGAAGCCTGAAAGCAGGCTCTGTGTACTTCTGACCCCCTCGAAAGGTTCAAGAGTTGGAGTCAAGAGGTATCTCTCAAAGTAGGAATGCAGGTGATGCAGGACCCAGGAGGATTGATTGAAAGTCTGTGTAAGAAACAGGTAACCCCCAGATTCTATCTCTGCCCCTGTTCATATATGCAGCTGTGCCTTCCTCATCTTAAGGGAAGACTATAAAGGCCTGTGCATTCAGGGACAATGGGCACAGCTAAGGATGAGGATACCATACAGAAAATGACGGGTACGGTGAAAATGGACACAGAACTGTGAAAACTCCCTCAGTCGCTTTCTACTACTTCACTCTGCGCACAATGGCTTCCCAGGCAGGAGTTTGGAGGATTTTTCTCTGAGAAACCAAGAACAAAAAACCTACAGATGATGTCAGTAATTTTGCCTCTGAACTGGCCCAGCCAGATCACTCTATAGAACAGCCTGGGACTTGGCAAGCCCAGCCTGTACCATAGAAGTGTGTTTGTGATGATCTCACAATTAAAAAAAATAATTTTGTAACTGTATTGCAGTGTCATTAGTTTTCTCCATAATACTATCTGTTTTAAAATACTATTTGAGAAGGGGTCCACAGGCTTCAACAGAGTTCCAAAGGGGTCCTTAGTCTGTAAATGTGTAAAATTCTCCCTGCATAGAGAGATTCGATGATTACTTTCATTTGCTCATTCACTCCATTGATATTTGTTGAGGGCCTTCTATTTGCCAGATCAGCGGTCCCCAACTTTTTTGGAACCAGGGACTGGTTTCCTAGGAGACAATTTTACCACAGACTGAGGTGGGGATATGGTTTCAAGATTATTCAAATGCATTACATTTATCATTAGATTCTCATAAGAAACGTGCAACCTAGACTCCTTGCATGTACTCTTCACAATAGAGTTGGCACTCCTAGGATAATCTAATGCCACTGCTATCTGACAGGAGACAGAGCTCAGGTGGCAATACTTGTCTGCTGCTCACCTCCTGCTGTGCGCCCTGGTTCCTGACAGGGGTTAGGGGCCTCTGTGCTAGATGGTAGGCTAGGTTCTGGTAGTATACTAATGAAAATAATCACTTAATGAATCCTCTGTTGGTAGGTATGTGTGGCTGATCATTTGGCGTGGCTGATCACTTGGCAATAGATAGAAATAGACTTTGGCTCTGGGGAACAGCAAATGTTAGGACCCAAAACTAAACAAACAAATAAAAATCAAAGTTGACCAGAGTTGTTAGGTCTTAATACAGTAATAAACATTAGTCAGAAATGCTGTGTGACAAGAGGAGAGTTTTCTGTTTCTTATGTCAACAGCCTCCCCTCAAGGGGATGATGGGGATCCAGTAAGATACCATCATCTTTGAGCACTTAGTGGTTTGGGTACAAAAATGAAATAGAGTTCAAGCTGAAGTAGAGGAGTAATTGATAGAGGCACCCTTATTTACTGAATACAGCCTTGCTCTAGGTTATGTTAATAGTTTACATTACTATTAAGCTTAAGGGGTTGCATGTCTTTTTGATCCTTAGACTGCCTGCCCATTCTTCCTCTTAGCCCTAGAGGACATATTGTCATGCTAGGCTTCAGGTTTAATTCTCAGGGCTCAGGTGGGAATTTTCCTTTGCTGAGTCCCCTAAAACTTGATCTAATGGTTCTTTGCTTTTCTGATTCCACCCAGCACCTGTTTAGGAACTTTCTCTACCTAGACCCTTTCTACCTTAAAAATATTCTCATGAAACCATTTGTTTTGGTTAGATAGCATTCCTTTTTGGTTTCATATGTCAGCTACAACTCAGCAAAATATATGTTTTTGGAACAAGATTCTTCCTGCTCTATCCCTACGCTGCCTTCTTGGTTTCCAGGCAAAATATGTATCTTTATGATATGGTTTTACTGTGTCTCCACCCAAATCTCCTCTTGAATTCCCACATGTTATGGGAGGGACCTGGTGGGAGGTAATTGAATCTTGGAGGCAGATTTTTCCCATGCTCTTCTTGTGATAGTGAATAAGTTTTACGAGATCTGATGGTTTTAAAAATGGGAGTTTCCTGCGCAAGTTCTCTCTCTCTCTTTGCCTGCTGCCATCCATGTAAGACATGACTTGCTTCTCCTTGCCTTCCACCATGATTGTGAGACCTCCCCAGCCACATGGAACTGTAAGTCTATTAAACCTCTTTCTTTTGTAAATTGCCTAGTCTCAGATATGTCTTTATGAGCAGTATGAGAACAGAATAATACAGCAAATTAGTACCACAAATGGGATGCTGCTGAAAAGATATCTGAAAATGTGGAAGCCAGTTTGGAACTGGGTAACAGGCAGAGATTGGAACAGTTTGGAGGGCTCAGAAGAAGACAGGAACATGTGGGAAAGTTTGGAACTTCCTAGAGATGTGTTGAATAGCTTTGACCAAAATGCTGATAATGATTTGGACAATGAATCCAGCCTGAGGTAGTCTCAGATGGAATGAGGAACTTGTTGGGGACTGGAACAAAAGTGACTGTTGTTATGTTTTAGCAAAGGGACTGGTGGCATTTTGCCCCTACCCTAGAGATTTGTGGAATTTTGAAATTGAGAGAGATTATTTAGTGTCTCTGGCAGAAGAAATTTCTAAGCAGCAAAGCATTCAAGAGGTGACTTGGGTCCTATTAAAGTCATTCAGTTTTAAAAGAGAAACAGAGCATAAAAGTTTGGAAAATGTGCAGCCTGACAATTTAGTAGAAAAGAAAATCTTGTTTTCTGAGGACAGATTCAAGCCAGCTGAAGAAATTTGCATAAGTAATGAGGAGCTGAATGTTAATCATCATGACAATGGGGAAAATGGCTCCAGGCCATGTCAGAGGCCTTTGTGGCAGCCCCTCCCCTCACAGGCCTGGAGGTTTAGGAAGAAATAATGATTTCCTGGGCCAGTCACAAGGTCCCTCTGCTATGTGCAGTTTAGGGACTTGGTGCCCTATGTCCCAGTTGCTCCAGGCATGACTAAAGGGGACCAAGGTACAGCTCAGGCTGTTGCTTCAGAGGATGGAAGCCTTGGTAGCTTCCATGTGTAATTGAGCCTGTGGGTGCACAGAAAAGTCAATAATTGAGGTTTGGGAACCTCCGCCTAGATTTCAAAGGATGTGTGGAAACACCTGGATGCCCAGGCAGAAGTTTGCTGCAAGGATGGAGCCCTCATGGAAATCCTCTGCTAGGGCAATGT